ATTATCAGGTAGCTAACTGTCTTTAAATGACACTTTTGTAGAATAGAAGGTTCTTATGCATAGCATCTTATTTTATCTTTTATTTTTATCTTAGCTTTTTCGAGTCTCGGCCTGAGGGCATTGCTCATTTTTTCATCTCTCCTGCTTCTAAATAGCCTAATGACTCTACAGAGTCTGCTTCAGACGTTTTCGGACTCCGTTTCAGTCAGAATTTGCTAACGCGATTTGCTGTTGTCTATGTTTTAAATGCTTCTAAACTGAGACATGGCATTGTCACTGAAGATACTTATGCTTAAGTTGCTACTGCATTATCAGATTGACATCATTAGACGTTTTACACAGTGCACAATTTGCATTCTATTCCTTTGCACGGGAATTTCATGGATCAAAGAAATAGGATCATTTATTTCTTCTTTTCCCTTCCTCTGAAGACATTTTATTCATAATCGGCTTTTACTTCTGCTTCTCAAGTTGTTTCAGCTCTTTCTTATTGAGCTCATTTTTACGGTCTTATAGTTACTGGTTCAAGTGTCCATTGTTAACTACCAAGGCCCATAGTGCCTGGACACACAGTATTGTAAATAACAACAACAAAAAAAAAAAAAAAAAAAAACTTTAAAGTTTTTGCCTGATATACAATCTCGCCTTAATTTTCTCCGAGCCAAATTTATTGTTTTGTCTGTCATTACTTGCCAGGCTGTGTTAAAGTGAGTTAACCAATAGAAAGTATTAAAGTAATGTTTCCAGAAGTCCATGGTATATTCTATGCCATTGATTTCCTCAAAACACCTTCCAAAATTATTTGCTGCCGACTTGAGTGAACATATCTCAAAACGTAATTAGGCACCCGAGATATTCTTGTTCAGACTTGTTCGTGAACCAAATTATTCGTGATGAAACATATTCATGATTCGATGTTTCACTGTAGTTAAATACATCCTTCAATAAATATATGAAAAGATATTGGAAAGATTAATTAATATCTTTTGTTAAGTCATTTTTAAGCTTAAGAAAACGTGAAAATAAATGTTTTTAACACTGATACACACACACATACACACACACACACACACAAAAAAAAAAAAAAAAAAAAAAGTTTTACAGATTAAAAAAAAAATGTTTCAACTTTTGGGAAACTTAAAGCGTTTAAATAAATTACAGGGCGGAATGAATAAACATATTTAAAGCTGTGGTTACTATGTAGATATATGAAAATTAATTTTTTTTTAAATTTCTTAAAGGCAGGAAAACAAACTTCATTACAAACAAACGTCATTCATCTACTTTAAGTTTTTGAATTGCATTTTATTAAGACAATAATCTCTACATACGAGTAATAAAAGAAAGAGTCTGTGTGTCTTGTTCGTGCTGCGCGTAAGCTAATAGACCCAGGGCTACGAAATTTGGTATGTAGGTGCATTTAGACAAGAGCCAGTGCATCTCGAAGCGATTTTTTAAATTCGAATCAGATTTTTTTTTAATTCATCTTTCGATTGTATAGCATCATTTTTGAATAATTTCATTCTTTCAGAAATGTGGTTTTTGCAACAGTTTTTCATTCAATTGTATACTGGACTGCTGACTGTTGAAAATCAGCACTGTTGCCACTTGGAAAAACGAGGGCGATAATTTTGTGAGGTTTTTAAATTGAATGTTTCTCTTGGATACTGGACGTTTGTTGAGAGAAGGCAACGGAAAGTTGGTTAATTTATTTATTAGGATAATTAATTAAGGGGTATTGCCTATTTCATTGTAATTTTGTTATATGTAATATATTTTTTTTAATGAAGTTGTTCTGCAGAGTAAAATTCTGCGGAGTTTTTAAATTTAACGTTTGGTGTTCCCTTCAGGCATTTTTCCGGTACATTTAAAAACCAGACAAAGGCTGGCAGCATAGTTGCTATTTATAAATATTTATAACTTTTAAAAATAATTTGTAACGTAGAAGTGCTATTTGTGCGAGTTTGCCGGAAGTATACAGCTTATACTGATAAAACCTTACACAACATAAAAAGCACTCTTTGTGTCGTGGCACGAACAATAGTAAGCAGCACGAACACTAATAGTAAGCAGCACGAACGCGCAGCACGAACGCGCAGCACGAACAATAGTAAGCAACGAAGTTTATAATTTCATACGATACCATATAAAAGTATAGTATTTAGCTGTCTGACTGCGCTATATATACAACCTTAAGAATGTAGGTAATGTTATACACCCTGGTGCTTTTTAATAGCTCCCAGGCACAAAAGTTAATGAAATGGGTAATGCATTTGAAATGAAATGGCCCGGATCTTTCTTTTTTAAGTACTGCAAGTTTTTTTCCATACCCCCTTTAGAAAAATATGTCTTAATTAACTAGATCAATATGTTATAGGCACTTTATGTGAAGACAATTATAGAAATTTGTTAAATTTCAATGCATTTTTTATCATAAAAATTAACATTAAATTTATTCAATAATAATATCAACTTCAGCTTCATGTGTCACTTAATGTCATGTAATGTTTCTAACAACAGAGAGAACAATACAATTATATTCCTTCTTTAATAAGATGCAAAAATACGATTCATAGTCATATATTTTTCAGTCTGATGCGATATAGAACACACATAAAAATTTTCTGTAGAAAAATAAGCTTTTTCTCTCTTGTTATATCAGCAACAATGGCACGCAGTTTTTAATGATTTTCTTCTTTCTAATCAAATGATCGTAAAAGCTCAAGTTTCATCCAATAATCCACATATATTCAATTTTGGTCAATTAAATGTGACAAAAAATATCACAACTGATCAGAAATCAATAACGCGAACAAACAAACAGGCATTCTTCTTTATCTATGTATAGATTTTGTAAAATTTACAACTTTTTGATTAAAAAACTGTACGATTTAAAAGCGACCAGTAGAAACACTTTTCGAAATACAGCATTTTTATCTCCAACGCGAGAGACTGTTGCCACAATGAGAGCGAAAATTAGTGTTCTCAGAGTTTTAAATTAATATCTCGGCTGATAAAAGTCGGGCGAAGGCGGTAATAGTCGAAATGGCTTTCCACGAATTTTTGCAATAGGGAATAATATATTTAATTCCAGGCAATGCTATTTTTATTTCATTGTAAAACTTAGAAATTTTTTATTAACAAACTCTACGATCTGAAAGCGAGCAATGGCAACACTTCTCGAAATAAAGCAAATTTTTATCTCCAGGGTGCAAGACTATTGCCACTCGAAAAAATGAGGGCGAAGATTACGTTTTCTTACGGGTTTTTAATTAATGTCTCTGCTTTTAGCTACTTTTTTTTTAGAAAAAAGTGGACATCGACTTTTTTTAAAAATTTTTAGTTTATAACAAATAGAAATAAGCTGCTTATATTACATGCTTTAATCCAATAAGAAAAGCAGAGGGAAGTCCTAAATGGCATTTAATTTTTCAATGGGATGTATTATTAATTCGTCTTTTTCAAAAACGTCAATGTGGTACATGGAAGGAACCAGTTAAAGGGAAAGTATGGAAGCCTTCGACGACAAATCTATAAGAGAAGAGGGTATAGAAGCAAAAGAAAAAAGAAAGAAAGAAAGAAAGAGCAATGCCCATATACTATCTTATTCAAGCAATAAAATTCATTCCGTTTTAGACTCATGTTATCAGCTGAAAGATTATATTAGTTAATTAAAATTCTAATTGGCTAATCTTTGGAATATGGTAACAGGTAGTTTGTCGACATTTTGGTAAGGCGATAAAGGTTATTAGCTAGGACTTTAGCAGTGTACATGGATAAAGTCAAGAGTGTGCGCAATGCCATTTTTTAAGTGAAAATAGGTCGACGTGTACATGGATACCGTGTATGTGCAATTCTTAAAAACGCGTCAATAAGTGGGAGATTCTGCACTTTCTCCCAATTTCGCACTTAATCTTTGTCATGATTAAGCACTTTTGTTCCATAAAAGTTCTAGCATAAGCATTATTCGGCTAGCAGATTGTTGGGAAAAAATGTTGAAAGAGAGAGGAGAGGGGAAAAAAAAAAAAAATCTTGCAGGCTGCTGTAGCAGGGTTGGTCGCCAAAAAATCGCCAAGTTACCATAATCGGAAGATCAACCTTCTAATTTTAATTAATTCGTTCCGGATTTAAACAGATAGAAAACAGATAGAAATAGCTTAAACAGATAGAAATAGCTCGCTTTGTTTTCATCATATTAAACCAAAATAAGTCAGCAGCAAGTTCATTAGACTTAAAATCTAAAATTATCAGGAAAAAATACAAAGTCACCAAATTTGAAATTGAACTCTTTATTCTAAGATTCTAAATTTGTGGATAATAGTTTTAAAATGATATAAATCATATGTAAAACACAATTCTTTCTTAGATATTAGAGAATTTGAGCTTTACACCCCCCGGACAGACAGAAGGTAATTCCAAATGTCGCTTTGATGTCCGAATTTTTTTTACTCCCGCCAAAAGGTGCATCCAACAATATGTAAATGAACCGTCAAAACACGAAACATTTTCTAATGCACTATGAGAATATTTACACATTCCCACAGAAAGAAAAGAGCATCGTTAAATTATAGTAATTTCGAAACATTTTCCATAAATAATATATTATACTGAATTGTAAATATACGTTTATTATAGGGAAACAGAAAACAATGAATAAAACAAATTAACAGTTTTTTTGTCATTAACAAATTAATAATAAAATCTATTATTCTTATTAACACATTCATACATTATGATCCAAAATATAAATAAATAATAAAATAGTTAAAAATCGAAAACGATATTATTCGATCATAAAAAAGCTAGAAATCGTGCTGAGTAAATTTCTTAATAAATTTCCGCAGCAAAAGTTTTTAAAAAAGCAGAATTAATAAAGCATATAATAAAAATATAAGAAGGCAATTCTTTTACTCAGTTAAGAAAATTAATAAAATGAGAAATACTTGATAATAACATTTGTAATTACAATACTAAAAGTGCTAGTGTATTAATTTATGCACCTGTAACTTCCAAATATTAGCAGCATGCATATTATTAGCAAATTGAAGAGACTGGTAACTTTAATGTAGTTAAAGAAAACGATACCCCGAAATTCAAAACGTTTCTCCACATACCTCGAGCGAAGCCGGAAACAACCTGTTGCTGTAGAACTTGGAAATAGACTGAGCACAAAGGCTGCTGAGATTGCGCAAAAAAGAGCGCCAACTCAGCTGTTTGAAAGATTAATCGCCAAATGAACTATTTCCTGAAAACAATTGCATTAAACTGCCGTATATAGCTGAAACCGGAGTCTAATCGAAAACAAAGGAAAACTCTAGAAGTAAATTTATTTTGGAAAATAATTGGAGATTAAATATGTTTTAAAATAAGTTAGAAATGCAACGAAAAGAAAGAAAAATAAGTCTTTGTTTTCGTTGCATTTAGACTTTTGGACTTTTAGTCCAAAGGGGCAATTTGCACAGAAAGACTATTAATTTCGTTTTGGCATTTTTCGTCAATTCACGATAAGCGTTTTCAAGTTGTTGCCACCCAATATTATCGTCCTGTGTTATATTTAAAGAAATTAAATAATGAAGAATCTGCATGAAGCATGTATGTTTCTCGCATTGTGTTAAAACAACGGTACCTAGAGCCATTAAAATTTGAATAACGTAATCTTCTATAGAATATGAGCATGTGGAAGCCCTGATTTGAATTTAAAGTTTGTTTTATTATCGATTTCATATTTTGTAACACTTCAAGGAATTTTTGATTAACAAACTCAGCGATTTCAAAGAGACTAATGGCAACCTGTACAAGAAACATTTTTATCTCCAACGCGTGAGTCTCTGTATCGGAAATTCTAAAGGTAGGCTCATTTAAAAATTATTTTGCGATAATTCTGTTTAACTGAATTTTATCGATTAAGTGCGAAGAACATAATATTTAATAAATAAAGGTAACAAACAAATGTTAAAAAAACGCCCCCTTCGGATGCAATGTAAAATCTGAAACCTTTCAGATTTTTAGTTTAAAATGCTGATATTAACGAAACATTTTCCACATACAATGACATCGTATGCATTCGAGTGCTTTCTTGGACGTCAGAATATGACCTTATATAATAATAACATGTTTAATGGGGTGTACTCCAACTGCGCTAATGAAAATCCCCCCGGGTCGAGCTATAGTCTAACTGCGCCAATCAAAATTTCTTCCCCCTGCTGCCTACGGGGTTACAATTTAACTTTTCGAAGCCAATTGTAGCCAAGAGAAAAATAAAAATAAATAAATAGAATTACATATCACAAGAACAAGTAAAAAATATCTAACAAGCAGGCTAATTACTTGAATAACAGTAATAAATGCGAGAGCTAACAAAGAAAATAAAAGGTATTGGTAAACATACATATTAGCATTACAAACATCTTTAATTTATTATAATATTATCATAAATTAAATAATTATAAAGCACACAAATTATATTTTTAATAAATTACATCAATAATAGTCAAGATGTCTGAACTAGACTGAAAAATTTAATAGAGTTTACTAGCGTGCAAAAAATTATTCCATATCAAAGTGTGCTAAAAATATTTTTTGTTAATTAAAGTATTCATGTAAATGTTTGCAGAAATTAAAGTTAGTTAAATTAAAAAAAAGCTTAGCGTGAAATCTATTATAACTATATTACTATGCATTTGGAACACTGACGTATAAATTGTAAATAAATTTAAATTATTATGCTAAGTAGTTTTTTCTAAAATTTATCTAGAAGAAAGGAATTAGATAAACAATACTGCAAATTAATATAATCAATCAAGCCTCTCAATAAATAAAAGTATATTTTTTTAACCAAAAATTAAAAATTGGGATGCAAAAGTTTGAGTAATATACTTGGAAATATCTGGACATATAATTAATTAGAAATGTATAATTAAATTAATAACAAGTAATTAACCGTAACATTAAGCTTAATTTCATTTAATCTAAAACAAGCAATCGATCAGGAGCTCCGCATAACTGAAGTTTTAATGCTATTTTATGTAGATTTGCGTATAAAATAAAAGTTGCACTTGTGAAACAAGTGAATAATGTACTGATAGTCAACAGGAATTAAAATACTGTGGTTAAAAATATAACTTCTTGTCAGAAGGTATGCAAAGTTGCCATGGCTAGTGAAATTGAATGATTATAGAAAACTCATAAAGTTAAGCTCTACAGTGTGAAAAGAAAATTCTGTAATAAACATGTTAAGAAAATTAGATTGAGAAATAATCCTTAATTTATTGATATCCATATAAACTCTATGCTTTTGGAAAAATGTTACATATAATTTTTACCGAAGTATCAATCGCCGAAACCGAGTTAATTTCTTTCCTTATTTTTTCTTATTAGAGGGATTTGTAAAAAGATATGCTAAGGTAAAGGTGAACATTTTTGCAATATTTTTAAAGAATAAATTAAAAAGTGTTTTTACTTCATGAACTGAAATTTTTACGCTACATTTTTACACAGTAAATAAGTACAAAAAAAGAAATAGCTGGGGGATCACTGGGACTAGAAACTCGGGTCGAACTACCAGTGTTTAGTGACATTTCCGCTTGATCATAAGACCTTTTGAAATTAGGCTGAACAATATATTAAAGAAAATAGAAGATACAGCACACGTAAGAACAAAAGTGGGCTGAATTAGAGATTTACATGTTTAATAGTATAAACGCATGAGTAAAGAAGGCAATGGCAATCTAAATCATTGTAATCTAAATGTATAACATTATCAGTATCTTCTATTAATTTCAATACTGCTGAAAAAATTATAAATGAATTATATTATAAATCACGCGAACTCGTTGCATTATAAATTACAATAGTTAGAAGTATTATTAGCGTGATTTAGAGACCATCTTTGTTAACAAATAATTTCAAGTAATTAATTTTACAAATAATTCAGCCTGAAACTAGGTTAGAAAACAAGCTGCATGCTGAAGATTAAGCTTTGCCAAGGTGTTAGAAATATCTTTTCTTAACTAGAGTTATGATGCAAGAATTCGTAAAAATTATCATTTAAATATAAATTGGCATAAATGCAATACAAAATATATGAATTCTATATACATGAACACTTGAGTACAGTGCAACAATATGTGAAAAAGGAATGGATTAAAAGGGAACTGAAAATCCCAGGATATAAATAAAAGGGAGTTTGAGTTTCTTTTTTTTTAATTATGAAAGTTCCGCTGACGCTCATAATTATTAATTTATTAATTAAACGTGTATTAGAAATTAAATGTATACCAAAGTACATCAAGTGAAAACAGAATAAATATTTAAACGTTTTTAGTATTAAAATATGGAATTTGGAACGCTATTCCAGAGTGCAGAAAAGTTAAATAACCTTAAAATAACTTCCATGACTAAAAATGGAAAGCTTAATACGGGAATATATTGCAATAATATTGTGAATTGAGAACGACTTAAGAAGTCCAATTCTTAGATTTAATAAAGAGATTTTTTTTTAATTAAATTTTAATTGTTTACCTAAAATGGTAAATTTGAAAGTTAAAACCATTCTGCTATCTAAGAAGATTTGTTAATATTTATCTAGACAAGAAACTTATTTAAGGTGAGCTACAAATTCGATATTTGATAATTTGATTATGTATCAGTTTTGTGTATGTCATTAATCTATCAATTTTACTATTCAAAACTGATATATATATATATATCAATCAGTGACTAAAATCTACAACTTGGAAAGTTTTTAATTCTTACAGAGAATAAGAAAGATCTGGCTCATCATTCCTTTAAGCATCATAAAACTTTAAAATGAGTATAAAAGAAATTTATTTTTACTTTAGCACACGCCAGACTTTAAATTAATATTTGTTTTGCATGCACAATTTTTACAATATTGATAAACGAAAATAAAGGCTTGCAGTCTCAATAGAATGTCCCATTATTGGCGATAAATGACTTTTTGTAGCACTCAATCTTCTTGGGAAAGAAATAGGGGACAGGAAACTTCGCGCAGTTCGTGGATTAGATGACGGGGGGACAGGGATCTTGAATCAAATTTGGCGCAGTTCGTACCCTACCGTTTAATGTTTGGCAATGCTATTTTTATTTATTTATTATTATTTATTTATCTGTTATACATATCTCTTTTCATATTTTGTTCATTTATAATTGTATATTCTGAATGAATTGAAGTTTTGAAAGTTTTATGATTTCATATTCAACAGCACAAAAAGGGAATTAAAAGAATGTTAGCAGTAATGATTGCATTACATTTTAAAGCTAAATTTAAACCAGCTAGTTAAATGTTTTTTTTTTTTTTTTTTTTTTTTACTGAAATTGAAATGAAATTTATAGTTTTCGATTTTCTATGCTAAAAGCTACCACGTATGCATATTTCGTTTCTTTAATTTTAATTTCTGAAAAATTTCTAGAGTTTCAAATTATTCACATAAATATTTTTGTTTCGTCTCAGCCTCAAAAAGCACCATAAAGTACCGCATATAAATTATTCAGTTACATAGTGTATTACTCACATAAGCAATTACTTTTATCTATATAAATCTTTTATCTATATTAACCTAAGTTATAAAATAAGTAATTATGCGAACGTTAGGGAAAGCGTGTCTTTGAAATACCTGACGATAAATTAAGTATTTTAGATTTAACATTTCTTAAATTCTCTTTTAAATTTATAGAATTTTATTAAATTTATTACTTATGAATTTAAATTTTTGGTCTCTGCGAAAAATTGGTTCTAAATTTCTTACTTATTTATATATATATAAAAACATTTCTAGACACTTTGTCTAAATTTTAAAAAAAATTTTGTAGCGAAAAAGTTTCAATTGTCTGTTTCGGCGAAACGCGTAATGGGGTTAGCTTGATTCGACGTTTAAATAAATGAAATTTCCCTTGAAAAGCCAGTTTGAAAGTCGAATTGGGCTAATTTACCATTTTCCGCTTAACCTTTTATCTGTTTCTGTTTTTTTAATGTTTTACATGTCTAATGGTTTGATTTTCATATGTATTAATTTTTTTAAAACGTGTTAAACTTTTTGGAGCAGCAGCTCTTGGTAACTTTTAGGCGAGCTTACTACAATTTTTATATTTTACTTATTTTGCAGCATAT